ATCTGCACCAGCATTCTGTTTGCCATCAAAGCCAACCAGATGCCTTCAGGAATCTCATTCAGAGGGCATGACAGCAGCAGCTCCCCAGATATACTCTTGCCTAGCAACTGCTATTCAGTGATGCTCTCCTCTTAAACATGGAGATTCTGTTTAACCACCAGAGCTTATTACAGGTCCTTATGGACCTTTTGCCATGGATTTGTCTAATCCCCTTTTAAATCCATTTGTCATCACATTTTGTACCAGTGAATTCCATAAATTATAGGTTATATGCGCAATTATAATAATAATACCTTTCAATTTATTGATCACTCATCCTGCAGAGCAGGAGGGTAAGGGAGGATAATATATATAATTCTTTAAATCGCACACTTTTGCAGCCAACGGGGATTTTGTTCAGCTGTAAGCTTCAGGCGTGTTCCGGACGGCATTCACTTTCGGCGTGGCTAGATGACGTCAGTTCTTCCCGGACTGCTTTTTTTAGTCATAGTGCCGCACTGCCACCGCCTGGCCGGATTGGCTCATCACAGGCTTCTTAATGCCGAACAGGTCTTTTTTCCAGGCTTCCGAGCTTACAAGCTGGACCTTCCGTTCACCGGCTAACACCTCCCCCACGGGGGTTTAGTGTGCCCACCCTCTCTAAGTAGTGGTACCCATTTTATCTACTCGCCGGAGCTTTTGAACCGCTGGGTGGACGGCGAGCTGGGGACAAGGCTGGTAGCTCACACCAGCGCAGGCTAGAACTGACAGCAGCTCTGTTCAGTTCAGATGTTAACCAGAGGATAAATCCTCTGCGCCACCGCTCCCCTTACGTTCTGTATTTTTTGCCTGTCCTGAATAATCCTGTCCTCTGAAAAATTATCCTTTTAATAGTCTACACAGCCTAGATTATTTTAAATGTTATGCAGCTTCCCATTTTTAATTTCAAAAAAATTCAGAACATGTTTAGAAATGTTGTACTGAAATACTCTACTGAAATTATTTCTTTGAGCCCAAAGGAGGAGTGAGATAACAGGCAAGTTCAGAGCTTTTGAATGGAAGAGATGTGACTCAATGCCAGTGCATCTGCTTTGCTTGGAAAATATCCCAGGTTGAGTCCCCAGCAGCTCCAGTTAAAAGGATCAGGTAGTGAGGGCTGTGAAAGACCTGGACCTGAGACCCTGGAGAGCCACTGCCAGTCAGAGAAGACAAGCGTAACCTTGATAGATAGACCAAGTCATAGAAAGCAGCTACGCATTCATGTGAGTGTTCAAAGCATTTCACAAATGTTCTCTTCTTGCAATCCTTACAACAACCTTCTAAGGTAAGTCAGTATTATCCCTATATAATACAGGAGATACAGAAAAAGCAAAAGAGAGATTGATTTTTCGAAGACTGGTACTTGGTGAATTCATTGCAAAGGTGAAATTTGAGCCAAGGACTTGTAGTTTCATCTCATAGCCACTATGCTGCCTTCCTTGTTTTAATTCCACTGTACTTCAAATTCTCTTCAAGGGAATCAAATTAGAATTATGTTGTCGAAGAAGAGAGAAGAAGATAAGAGATTGGATTTATACCCCGCCCTTCACTACCGAAAGGTGTCTCAGAGCGGCTTACAAACTCCTTTCCCTCCCCCTCCCCACAACAGACACCCTGTGAGGTAGGTGGGGCTGAGAGAACTCTTGACAGAAACTGCTCTTTTTCAAGGACAGCTGTGCCAGAATTATGGCAAGGTCATCCAGCAGGTGCAAGTGGAGGAGTGGGGAATCAAACCCGGTTCTCCCAGATTAGAGTCCGCGCACTTAACCACTACACCAAACTGGCTTTCACGGCCGGAGTTCATTAGTTGTTCTAGATTTTCCGGGATGTGTGGCCATGGTCTTGGCATTGTAGAACCTGACGTTTCACCAGTAACTGTGACTGGCATCCTCAGAGGTATCCTCCCTATATTATAAAGCAGTAAGACGCAGACTCACGCACAGGAGAGAAAATGCGCCCCTACAGTGTTTGGCCGGCTGACCAGTCCGTCACGGCCTTCCCCGCCTTCCATTGGCCGTGTCCCATGGCTCCCACCTCCAATGCCGCGTCCCGCCTCTGAC